GGAAGACTTGATCAAGGATCTAAAGGTGAAGGAACCCTTAGGGGGCAGTGACCATAACAGGAGAAGTTGGAATCAGATGAAACAGTATTACAATTAAGTAAAGATAATTACAAAGACATGAGGGAGGAGCTGGCCAGAGCTAGAGTCAGAGATATACAGCATGGAAAGACCCTTCAGTCCAACTTGTCCATCCAACCAGATGTCCTAAACTCATCTGGTCCCATTTTCTAGCATTTGGCCCATATCCTTCTAAATCCTTCCAGATGCTTTCACCACTTCCTCTGGCAGCTTATTCCGTACATGCACAACTCTCTGTCTGGAAAAAGTTGCCCCTCTCACCTTAAACCGAACTATAGACTGGTGAGCCTGACATCAGTGCTGGGCAAGTTGTTGGAGGGAATCTGGAGGGACAGGATTTACATGTATTTGGAAGGGCAAGGACTGATTAGGAATAGCTAACATGGCCTTGTTTGTGGGAAATCATGTCTCACTAATTTGATTTTTCTCCCCAAGTAATGAAGATGATTGATGAGGCAGAGGATGTGGATGTGATCTATATGGACCTCAATAAGGTGTTCAACAAGGTTACTCAAGGTAGACTGGTTAGCAAGGCTAGATCACAGGGAATACAGGGAGAACTCGCCATTTGGATACAGAACTGGCTTGAAGGTAGAAGTCAAAGACTGGAGGCCTGTAACCAGCAGTGTGCCACAAGGATCACTGTTGGATCCACTGCTTTTTGTCATTTACATAAATGATTTAGATGTGAACATGGGAGGAATGGTTAGTAAGATTGCAGACAACACCAAAATTGTAAGTGTAGGGGACAGTGAAGAAGGTTACCTTAGAGTACAATGGGACCTTGATCAGATGGGCCAATGAAGTTTAATTTAGATAAATGTGAGGTGCTGCATTTTGGACAGGCAAATCAGGTCAGGACGTATACACTTAATGGCAAGGTCCTGGCAAGCGTTGCTGAACAATGAGACCTTGGACTGCAGTTTCATAGTTCCTTGAAAGTAGAGTCCTAGGTAGACAGGATAGTGAAGAACACGTTTGGTAAGCTTGCCTTTATTGGTCAATTTATTGTACAGGAGTTGGGAGGTCATGTTGCGGCCATACGGGACATCGGTTAGGCCATTTTTGGTGGACAAATTCTGCAGGCAGTTCTGGTCTCCCTGCTATAGGAAGGAAGTTGTGAAACTTGAAAGGGTTCAGAAAAGATTCACAAGGATGCTGCCAGGGTTGGAAGATTTGAGCTATAGGGAGAAGCTAGATAGGTTAGGGCTCCCACCAGCTTAGTTTAATAGCTCATTCTAAAGATACCATTCTCCAATTAGCCTGCTTCAAAGTCTCTGGAGCAGGACTTGAAACCACAGCCTTTAGATTCACCAGTGACAATGCTACTATTGAGCAAAGGCAAAACCCGGTTTTGAATAAAACAATTCATCTTCCTGTATGTGCTTTATTCATTGTCTGTTACTAAATGTGGGGATTGTTTAGCTCAGTGGGGTGGATGGCTGATTTGCCAGCAAAGGAACACCAACAACATGGTTTCAATTCCCTCTCTGACCTGTCCCCCCTCCTCAACCTCACCGGAGTCATAGTGACCCTCAAGTTAAGCCATCACCAGTTGTGTCACACTCTCTCTAGAGACAGCAGCCTGATGGGATTATGACAACTTTTTCATTTTTGTTCAATGCCCCAACTGTTACAACTCTGACAGGAGTGTGCTGTAAATCAAGACTGACTATACCACTAGCCTTACCCAAAAGTGTAAATGTTCCATTTAATCACTAAAATGGTCAATTTATTTCTCTTCATTACTGTTACCTACAGCAAAAAACTTTCACCAGACTTCTTCAATAAAGTCAAAAATAACTTGTTTACTGGAAAATACTTATTTAGACATGTAGCAAACTGTCAAGTAAATTACTGTGCGGAATTAAATTATATTCCCTTAATTCTAAACACACAATAGACAGGCAAGTTAACACAGCTCTGCAGAGATCATGGGTCTGGCAAAAAAGGAACAAGACCAACGTAGGTCAAGCGTATAAATTCAAGAGAGAATAAAGTCGACTTCACACGATTCCTTCAATTTTCTGTCGATGAGTTCAGATTGTTGACAGTCGCAGAATGATGGAAGATCTTCAGATCAGATTTCAGATTCAGAGTTAGCAAACCTGATATTTGAACTTTCAGGTTTCATAAACATTAAGCCAGAGAGATTTCAGCTGGTTTGGCATTAAGGTTCGTCTAAGAGAAGGAGCTGCTTTGTGCTGTTTTGTCAATTGCAAAATTCCAGGTCTGTGAAAATACATAGTAACTTGACTATGTAGTAACTTGAGCAATTTCCAAGTATATGTAACAATTAAGGGCCTTAAAATTCACCTCAGCTGACATTTCAAAGCAGTTTTCTCAAAACAGAAGATAAACCACTGCTCGTCATTTTGGCTTTTTGATCCAAGAAATCACATGATAAAACCCTTCAACTCAGAAATGTCCAAACAATTCCCTACTCCAGTTTATCATATTCCGTGAATATATATGTATTCCTGACACTGTAAAGACAATAACCTTATCAAAACATTTCTGATGAAGGTTTTGAAAGGTTTGATGAAATTGACCTTAAATGTTAACTGTTTATCTCTCAGCAGATTCTGCCAGACCTGCTGAGTATCTTCAATATTTTCTGTATTCCACTGAAACTTTAAGTAGTTTTCTGGTTGAACACTGTCAAAATAACATTAAACACTCCAAGACTAACTTGGTACAAGAAACAAGAAATGGACAGAATTTGATTTCAGGCACAAATCCATAAGATTTTTATAGTAACAATGGGAATAGAATGGGGATGAGGATACAGGAGATGCTTAGACATGAAAAATAGGAATTCAGAATTGCTTTTACTGTCTTAAGTAAGAGGATTACTTCTACTGCCCAAGGGCCACAAGAGGTAGCTTTGGAGAGGGGAATGAGGCAGGTGACTAGATTTTCAAAATTCAAAACCTGGACATACTGAAGAGCCTTGGGAAGGTGGGACTCAGTGCTGATTGACCTGTTAGGCAATAGCTGAGAAGAAGTATGGGCACTTGAATGGAGGGCGGGGGGTGGGGGGGGGAGGTCGTCTTGTGATGACATCTCCAAGAATGCATAGCATGAGTCACATGGGAAGACTTTTTCAGTAAATGACCGATCTTACAGTCTCATGCTTGCTCGCGTTCTTTGCCCAGCACCAAGTCCTTGCTCTCTATCTGACTGCTCTGTAATTTCATTAAGAACTTTCCATTTTCTGGCAGTACTAATAACAAAGTGAAAACTGGAACGTGTGGAGCTTCATCAGTTTCACCCAATAACATCATGTTCAATAGCACAGGCTCCGTCCATTGGATAAACAATCAATCAATAAGACGCAAGCAATTTGCATGAAGGCAATCATTTCGTGCAATACAGTAAAGCAGACAGCAAAGACAAAGAGCTGGAGATAGAAGTGAGCAAGCACTAGTCATACAGCATGGAAACAGACCCTTCAGTTCAACCAGTCAATGCCAATCATAATCCCAAACTAAACTAGTCCCACCTGCTGCGTTTCACCCATAACCCTCCAAATGTTTCTTATTCACATACTTATCCAAATGTCTTTTAAACATTGTAACTGCACCTGCATCCACCAGCACCTCTGGAAGTTCATTCCACACACAAATCATGGTGTAAAATCTTTTAAAATCTTTCTCCTCCTAAAAATATGCCCCGTAGTCTTGAAATCCCCCACCCTAGGGAAAAGACACCTGCCATTTGCCTTATCTATGCCCTTCAAGATTTTTTAAACCTCTATAAGGTCATCCTTCTACCTCCTATAATCCAGTGAAAAAAGGCCCATCCCATCCAGCCTCTCCTCAACTCAAACACTCCATTCTCAGCAACATCTACTAGATTGCAATATCTGTCTCACTCCACAACCCTGGCATTTTCACCTGGATTTTTTTTTTTCCAAGTTTTTGATTACACTTTAAGATCCTGTCTATTTAAATGTCTGGGTCAGATTAAAGTGGAAGAGCTTCAGTATAGCTTAAAACCAGGATATTTGAACATCTTAGCATGCTTGGTGATAAACCTGGGCGGTCCCTGCCAGACTGGTACACTTCTGGTCAACCTAAGACTGTGCCAAGACAGTCATGGAGAAATACCAATTTAGGCATCAGTATGTTCCCACGCCGAGAGGAGAAATATTAAATTTTAAGAGAAAACTATGTAAACTTTGAGTTAACTTTTCTAAAGCACTGAAAATGGAAGTAGCTTGGGTTCGCAGTATTTTAGCAGTGAGTTGTCGGTGTAACTTCAAACAGTGATGAGAAATGTCATGGCCCATGTGATGGCAAGGATTAACCACTAGCCATATGCTAATTTAGAATGAAGGTGCAAGCAATTGCATTAGCTTAGTCAATTGCTACAGCAAATTTATGTATATTTTAAACCCCTCACGTTTGCTGGAACAAAAAGTTTGTGGAAGTACAGAACTGCTCAGAGTTGGATAAATGACAAGTGGACTAAAATGAAACTGAGGGCAGTGTGGAAGATGGAGAAATGTCAACTTTCCAATTCCATGTCCCCCTTTGTTATGCCACTGCTGGTATTTGATTTGAGACTCTAGCCACTTTGCATTCAGTGGTGCAACCTAATAACTAATTTTACGGGTGAATAGAATTATTGAACGCTTGCAAGAGGTGAACTTGAGAGACCAGTCACTATCCTGTGATGTATGGTGGATGCTTGATCAAAGAAAACTTCACTTTTGGACAACCCACAAAAAGACATGGGCACTCGTCCGCGGGCCAAGTGCAGCAGAATGTAGGAGCATCATTAAACCAGTTCCACTAATTCATTCACAGGATCTAATAAAATCCACATTGCTGTTTTGCCCTTGAGTGATCAGACCAAAACTCAAATGTTCAGACTGTTCAGAAATTACTTTTTGTGAAGACAGAAAACTCAGTTCATTATCTAATAACGGTTTATTGCCAGTTATCTCCAGACAAGTTGTATATCACATTTCACATCCGAAACAAAAACAGGAATTGGCGGAAAAGCTCAGCAGGTCTGGCAGCATCTGTGGTGAAATCAAGAATTAACATTTCGGGTTGAGTGACCCTTTCTCTGAGCTGAAAAAGAGAGACAGAATTGGAAAGTTCAAATTTGACATTTCACTGATGCTGCTAGACCTGCTACGCTTCTGCAGCAATTTCTGTTTTTGTTTCTGATTTACAGCATCCACACTTCTTTCGGTCTTTGCGCTTAATATCAGACTACACAGAGCCAGCCAACGGATACAAATTAATACAAATCATCAGCCTGGAGAGTGTAACAAATTGCACCTTGGAACCACCATGTGATCACTTGCTCCTGTTCATTTGCCGTACCAGATAACAGCCAGTCATTTCAAATAGATGCAAGATCAAACATTTTAATTATGCTTAAAGCATTACCATACATTATATAAAAATAATTCCCATGTCAGTTAAAGAATACAGACATAAACTGAATTTTTACATGTACCTAATCCTTTACTGGAAAGGAATGAGAACAAGTATCCAGAAACATGTGTGACAGTTTATCCACATTTGAAAAAGGAGCTTAAAACTCTAAATAGGGGAGTAACATACATCATGATAACAATGTCTTTTATATTCCTTTTGGGAAGTTGCTACGCTTTTTAAAAGTCTATAATGTGGTGTCATACAAGAAGTTACATAATACAAAACACCAGACAGATAAACTTTTCAGTTCCTTTTAAATCTGTCAGTGCAACAACATGTTTGAACTGGAGTTTTTGTCTCCTATTTTTCTGAAACAGGATAAAATGATCCGAGAAGGTCACAGCTGCCTTATTTTGCATGGTATCTACAGATTTTATTCTTGGGCTTTCAAGTTATCGTTGAAAATATCTTGCAATTCCTTTCACTGGAATGAAAAACCTGCAAACCAAGGTGACATCTTACCACATTTCAATAATAAACATAGTTTTAAGAAGACATGCAGGTGCAAAGTTGATTTTCTGCAAAGTAAAAGGTTTCAGTAGCAAAAGAAAGAAATGTTCCAGAAATAGTAGGGAGTAATTTGAATAAAATCCAATTAAAACATTGTCTGGTGTATGAAGTTGTAGATTAAATCATATCATGTTATTGGCAGCAGCAAATACTGAATGCACATTTGCAAGGGTAGAACAATGGAAAGGAGAAAAGCTCTCAAACTTCAGTGAAGCTTCACTTCAAGCAGTGTGTATAGTATACCTCAAACACAGGCTTGTCTGCCAGCTCCATCAGGTGTCAGCTACATCTAGTAAGAGAGACAAGTGACGTTCACAAACCAGTTCTTCCTCTTGACTGGCTTGGATCAACGTTTTAAACTCTTTCAGTTTGTCTGATAAGGTCATTGTTGAATTGTTCAGCCAATCGGACTTATTCATACTGATATCCTTTCTGTGTCCATTATTAGCGTCCTCCTTAGATGAAACAGATATAAACAGCACGATTAGACAGGATTAAGATTCTGATCTCAAATATAACAGCTACAGGAATGAAAAGCAAATCAACTGTTCTGGAAAAACAAAAAATGCACTATCAAACTCTCTAAGGTAGCAATGATAAGAGTATTAGTAAACCTGTGGTGTGATTACAGCAGACACTCGGTGCATGGGGACAACAACTTTATCAGCAGAAACCAAAGTCTGTGGGAGGTAAAGAGGGAAAGCAATTGAATCCAATGGGCCCCCATCCAGCCAGCGATGCAGTTGCTCCTCACATCTAGAGAATTAACACAAACACAAAATTATGTCTTACAAACATTTTGTATGGTGTAATTACAGTTAACTTTAAGTCAGGGAGGTAGAGAAAGGTTGTTTGTTTGTACAGGAGCACAAAGGGGGGCACTTCCTGCATATGAATCACTGCAGTCAAGTCTTTGCTGCCCACAAGATGAACAAGTGGGCTTCACAGAGGCTAGCAATAAGTTCAAATTACTCATTTTTAGGTCTGTCCAGTCCTTAATGAATTGTGAGTCCTTGAATCTATTCTACCTATCATTTCAAATTTTCTCCTCTAAAATATAGTGCTGATGATTCAATAAATTATAACAATATATAACCAGGAAATTTCAGTAGATGAAATTCCCAACTTCCAACGTGGTTGTAGTGCTCAAGGAGTATGGGAGGCTTGCTGGACTCATCAGCACTGTGGTTGTGTTCAGGGCAGCTTTGCCCAAAGACAGAAACTGGTTTTTCGACTGGTTTTTTAATCATGACCAGTCATGGCAGTCAGGAGGTCAGCATGACAACAACTTTGATAGGCTGTCCACCTGCCCAGAAGCCAAGTGTCTGAACTATACAGCTTCAGAAAGTTTCCAGGATTCTGAAAAGACAGCATCCTCCCCTCTCTTTATAGAGAAGTAACAAAGAATCAAAAGATACTTAACTATTCTCTTTCATCATTTGCCTATAAGCTACTGCCTCAAACCGGTAATACAGACTGAATAACTAGTGTGCCAACCTTCTTCTGTCTACAGTAAGGAACTGAAGTAACTTCGAAGATGAAGAATGGAGGTCAGAAGCACTTGGAAGGAGCCAAAGGACACCTCATTGAATCCAGTGGACTGGTTCTTTTGAATTGTGTTACCCCAACATTTCATTCTTCATCCATAGAATCCCTACAGTGTGGATACAGGCCCTTCAGCCCAACAAGTCCACACCGACCCACTGAGCATCACAGCCATTCCCCTAATCTACACATCCCTGAACACTACCATTTAGCATGGCCAATCCAACTAGCCTGCACATCTTTGGACTGTGGGAAGAAACCAGAGCACCTGGAGGAAACCCACACAGACACGGGGAGAATGTGCAAACTTCACACAGACAGTTACCCGAGGGTAGCATCAAACCCGGGTCCCTGGCGCTGTGAGGCAGCAGTGCTAACCACTGAGCTACCATGCCACCCTTATATTTGTTTGTTTATCTGTGTCTGTCTACATCTGTGTTTAGTGGTTTAAGAAGGGCTACAGTTTAAGTTAGAGAGTTATAAGTTGGTAGGTTATATTTAGACTGCCTCAGGTTACAGTTCACTAATTTATAGTTAACAGTAGTTCCTTGCTAAGTACTGAAACATGACTGGTATATTCTATTAATTAGTTCATCAGGTAGGTAAACTAGTGATTGAGTAAATTTGATTGTTAATTTTTGCAGCAATCCCATGAATAGTGGAGCGAGTGTGAATGCCCTTTCCTAATGGGTGATCACAATGGTCTAGGGTTATCAGTGCTGTTCAAATTGTCATAACTTCACTAATGCAAATTTCATTTCCACTTCAAAGGTTGCCTCACTGTTGCTTTGTTTCTTTAGAAGCCATGTCATTTTCAGAAAGCATGTTGTTTATTTCCCACATTTCTCCATTATTGTACCTTTTATTCTCCTCTTTTTCCATTTGAATTTCAGAAAGCAGTCGCCCTGGTAGAAGTTCTGCTGCTGTAGAAGTACGGGTAACATCCAAAGCAGAAAGAGTCCTGTCCTGAAGGGTTTCTTCAGAACTGACCTTCACAGTATATGATTTATTTTCTGATCTCTGCTTAACTGAAGGGTATACCTGTTCCTGTGGCAACCTGGAAAACAATATGACAAAATAACAATATCCCCATGATAGTGAAGGAAAAGATTTACGGATTACAACACTTTATATTATTCAACACAGTAAAGCTTGCTTCTGAAATTCTAAGCTACATGAACAGCATATAATGACTCTAATCCATTCATAAAGTTGCCCATTGTTTGGCCATCATTATCCAGATTAGCTCATTTCTGGTCCTAGACAAAACCTATCATCTCGCTAGTAAATGGGTAATGCTGAGTAACTGTTGCAAGTACAAACATCTCTGTGCAAGTGTCTTAAACAAATACATTGAGAACAATAGTCGATAAGTCTCACAAAGTACTGAGAATCTGGACCACCAGTTCTCATAATCCAAATGCGTAATTCGCTTAGTCTAGACAAACAGCAAATATGAGCCAAGAGGCAAATGTTCAAACCAGATGACACATCAACATCTACAGTGGGAGACTGTCAAATCATCTGATTCATCAGTCATTAATTACCTGAGCTGTTCCATTTCATCACTTTGCCGATTACCACCCCTCTGCCACTGACCACCTACCCTCCAGCTACTGTTCCTCAAAGCACCACTTAAAAGGGCAGATAAATAACTGTTACTGGGTCCCCCTACTGGGCAGCATCCATAACCACTTGTCATTTGCTTGGTGTCCTTCACTAAATACGCAATGCCTTTTAGCTCCACCAAGGGGCTGAATAACGATATTATATAGTTATAAAGGGATAACTACACAAACCATTTCCGAACAGAATTGTAACATGTCCAGAATCACAGTTAATGCAGGCTCAATAAGTCTGATTGATTTACGTTAATTAAGATTCTGCGACATTAATTAATGTTTTCAGGATGATCATAGATCATAGAATCCCTACAGTGTGGAAACAGGCCCCTATGTCCAACAAGTCCACACCGACCCATCCCCCTATTGGCCACCTAAGCTCTGCATCCCTGAACACTACGGGCAATTTAGCATGGTCAATCCACCTAGCCTGCACATCTTTGGCCCCTGGGAGGAAACCCACGCAGACACAGGGAGAATGTGCAAACTCCACACAGTCACCTGGCGGTGGAATCGAACCAGAGTCCCTGGCGCTGTGAGGCAACAGTGCTAACCACTGTTCCTACCGAGTTTGAGAAATGAGTAACCTTTCCTAATTGTTGCTATTTCTTATAATCATAGCCACTGGTTTAGAATGAAAAACAAGACAAAGTCAATTTCATCCCACTAGTAGCAGAGATCCTTTTTAACTAGTGATTTGAGGAAGAACAAACCACCATTGTTTCATTTCCATTAAAATCAAAGACCACTGAGTTTGTTTGTCACTGTTATATAACTAATTTTTCGCCAGATTCCTGTGGTTAGAAACAAGATCACAGAAGTGTCCAAGGCAGCTCTATTTGCCCAGGCAAATCAAGAAAAGCCTGCACTAAAACTATTCATGGGTATATTGGCTCTCCTTGTACTGTATTCACCTTGTGGAGTCCTTAGTTCCCCACAAACTGGCAAGTTGCTCCACAACAAGTTCAAAGAATCTGTTCACAGTTCCAAAAAATAAAAATGCTTCAAGGGTGTTCCATAGTTTTACTTGTCACGTAATGGGATCACACTTACACAAAACCCCAACCCCATTGAAAATACCAATTTCTCAGATACGGTCAACGTAGAGCATTCATAATAATGTGAACATACAAACAACTTAATCGGGTACACTGTTTCCAATGTGTTTTCTAAATGCGTATAAAATAGCGAGTGCACAGCAGTAATGTGAGGCAAGTCATAAATTAAGATCAAACATGTTTAGCACAGAAAGTATGCTGTCTTTCCAAAGTGCAGAAGTCAATGATTTATTTTCTATTTGTCAACTTTGACAAAACTATGACTGCAAAAAAAAACAAATTAAATGTTACTCTCTTGATTGGTCATCACCAAAACAGATGTTAATAATGCAGGATATCCAGAAAAGTCGAGTGTGAAGGGAACAAATGTATCTTTTGCTCATAACTCCTTCTGAATTCCTTTCTTAAATATAATGCATGTCACATAAATTATAATCTGAACAATGCAGTTCATATATAAAAAGCATTCAGGCAGGAAAGTAGATTGTTATACTAATATTTTGCTCTTTTACCTCTGACAGGCATCTTGGATTTCCATCTGGGTATTTGATCGTGCCTGTTCCCACAATGGAGGCCGTTTGTATTTTTTCAAATCGTCCTGAAAATAATAGACCAGGATCTGACCATCTTCACTTACAGCTTGAGAAACAAGAATGAAAACTATTAATGTGAAAAAAGCAAAGATGTGTACATTAGCTCAAATAAAAGGAATTCCTCCTGTACATACTTCATTTTTCCCATTACAAAAATTCAGACAGGGACCAAGGGAATTTGCGAGAGAGTAGTTTGATCTCACCTGGAGCACTGCACCCAGTCTCAGTGCCACACTTTCAGAAAGATGTGAAGGCATTCAACAAGGTACAAGGTTAAGTCATAAAATAAGAGCCCAAGGCATTGGAGGTAGTATATTGGTATGGATAGAGAATTGGTTAATTGACAGGAAACAGCGAATGGGGATACAGGGATTTTCTTTCAGGCTGGCAACCAGTGGGGTTCCAGAGGGATTAGTGCTGGGACTGCAACTGTCCACAATATTTATTCATAACTTGGTGGAAGGAAGTAAATATACTTTAGCCAAATTTGCACAAAACACAAAAATAGGTAGAAAGGTAGGTTGCAAGAGGGATACAAACAGTCTACAGAGACCTATTAATAGGTCAAGTGAGTGGGCAAAAATTTGGCAAAAAAAGTGTAATATGGGAAATGTGAAGTTGTCCATTTTGGAATAAAGATGGATAATCTCATTGAAACATATAGGATTTGTAAGGACTTGACAGGATAAATGGTGAGAGAATGTTTTCCATCATTGGAGCATCCAGGACCAAGGGGCATAGTCTCAGAATAAAGGAATGCTAATTAAAGACTGAGATGAGGAGGAATTTCTTCTCTCAAATGGTTTAATGCCTTTGGAACTCCTTGCCAGAGAGCTGCAGGTCCTTGTGTATATTTAAGGTGGAGATAGATTCTTGATCAGTAGGGGAATCAAGGGTTACGGTGAAAGGGCATGACAGTGGACATGAAGAATATCAGATCATAGAATAGAATCCCTACAGTGTGGAAGCAGGCCATTCAGCCCATCGAGTTTACATCGACCCTGCATCGAGTAACCCACCCCCTACCCCACTCCTGCATTTCCCACCCTATACACTATGGGCAATTTAGCATGGCCAATCCAACTAACCTTCACATTTTTGGACCGTGCGAGGAAACCAGAGCACCTGGAGGACACCACGCATACACAGGGAGAGCGTGCAAACTTCACACACACAGTTGCCCGAGGCTGGAAATCAAATTGAATAGCAGAGAATGCTTGAGGGGCTGAAAGGCCTACTCCTACTCCTATCTCTTATGGCCTTGTGGTCATATGGTGAAGGCAATGGACAGTGTGCATTATGAGAATTTTTCCAAGGTTGAGGAATTTCAGTTGGAGAAGCTGGGGCTGTTCTCCTTGAAGAAATGACTGAGGAGATCTGTCTGAAGTTTTTAAAATCATAACTGGCCTGGGCGGGGTAAATAGGGTGAAAGTGTTCCCACTTCATGGAAGGATCGAGAACATGAGGGGCACAGATTTAAAATACTTAGAAAAAGGAGAAAAGAGGTATGAGGAAAACTTTATCCACACAGCAAATGGTTACAGTTATGCAGTACCCAAGTGTGTAGTGGTGGCTGCTTCAAGCCAACCCTTCAAAAGAAGACTGGATGGTGAATTTAAAAGCAGCAATGCACTAGGTTATGGGGAGAAGATAGAAGAATGGCACTAGGCGAGACTCTTATTTGGAGAGTCAACATAAACATGATAGGCTGAATGACTTCGTTCTGCGCTGTAACATTTCTAGACATCGAAGTTGGACCTGGGGATGTGGCAGCAAGGAAATGCATTTTCCACATATTATACTCTGAAGTGATAAATCATGTTCTGTTCATAAATATCACAACTCTCAGAGAAAAGGAAAACAATTGTGGGTGGGTCTTTACAAAATCAGAGGCAGGAGGGGAAACTTCATGAAACTGGCAATTGCTTTATTATTTGTCCCAATAAAGCTTGCTTTCAAATTTTGTTAAACTGCTTTTGTGATGACAAATTCAAGTGTTTGGTGAGGAGGTCTGACCATAGGAAACTATAGCACAAAAGGAGGTTGCAGGTGTTGATGCTTTGAATTGGGTGTTAACTTAAGTCTCACTTCCTCTTGTTCTTTCTCCATAATCTTATAACATCCAAACGCTCCTCTACATAAAAAAGATATGATTTTAAGTCATCAAGTTACCAATTTATGCCTGATTAAAACATCTCAATTTCGAACAACAGTTACATCTCTTAACCTTGTTCGTTTTTATGATGAGGCTCAGTTTTTCCAATGTCTCTTCATTGCTAAACCTCTTCATTTCTGATAATATCTTGATGATTCTTTTCTAATTCCTCCCCATGGTAGTCACATCCTTTCTCAAGTACTACACTCCAAATAGCTGACTTGGTTACAACCACAACCGAATCAATCACTTGAACAGGTTCAGTTTTACCTGTGCTTGGATTCAGTGCCATAATTAAAACCCAGAATCCCATACACCTTTAAAAAACTCCTACTTTCAAAAGTTACACATCAGATTTCACAAGTCTCTCCTGCACTTTTTAAAATTTTATATTCATTGTTTATGTCCTCTCTTTAACCTTACATCCATACTTAGTTTTATTTTGTCCATTTGTTTGTATTACCCTACGTTAGATAAGAATGGCGATTTTTTTACATTTCCTCCAGAAAATCCATTGACACAATATGTACTGCATTTCCTGGATCAATAATTATTTCAAAGCAAATATTTTATTTCAGTTACTGAGTTGCTTTGTATACATTTATAGTCATCTGTTCCTCACAATGAACTAACAGCATAAAACACCAAACCATTTCTGTTCTCAAATAACATAATTTCAGCCACGATCAGAATACAGTTTCTAAAAACCCTAAAACAGGAGATGAGCAAGGTCCTGATTTCTTTTTCTCTATGTTTCGCTCCTCAACCTCACAATCCACTATAATGCTACAAGAATGAGACCATTCTAAAATAAAAATGTAAAACAGAGACATGACTAACCTGAAGCACAAGGTAGGTTCGAAGCTATGCACTCTCTCAATCGATGGTCAATGCAAATGAGAACAATTTCATCCCAAGGTATTTCTGAAACCAATGGCCCCTCATCAATCGAGGCTTCCAACATCAATGGATAGCTGTCTCTCCATTTGCTATGGACTCTGTTCAGGACGTGCTCAATCCTTGAAAGCAGCAGTGGGCGTGTTTGTTGTGATACTGGGACCTGACATACGTATTGGAAGATCATATCACAGACCTTAACCCATGGAGCTATGAGGAATAGAAAACAGCATTGTCAATGATGTGGCCACCAAGAGTGTGGAATCATCTTATAGAAGGTTATATTCCTACCATGCAAGGGAGTTAGATCCATCACTGGCAGTTGAAAAGACAGAACTGCCTTTCTTAGCCAGGTCAGGTGGTTATTGGAATTCCATTCTTTGTGTGCCAATATTTCATGAGCAACAGGTCCAGAGAATTCAGCAACTGGCCAAGAAAGGTTATACAGTTGTTCGGAGGACACTACTTTTGCAAGGAAACGCAGCACATCGTTATAAAACTCAATGATGAAGCTGGGGCTCTGGGAAGGCAATGCAGCCAGTTGCCTTTCAGATTTATCATTGTAAAACTGGTCATTAAACTCTCGGCACAGCCCGTCTTCAATGAACTGGATCAGAGTCTGGCAGCAAAGCTCCGGTGGTGACGGACAACGCGAGGCCAGCCACCTTACAGCTTCAGAGACCTACGAGAAATTACATCCATATATTTAAACCTCACTGTAAAATGCTAAGAAAAACACAAAGTGCTGGAAATATTATTTTCTACATGTTTTATTTATTGCAAAAAAGGATGGGGAGAGTCAAAGATCAAATGAAAAGGTGTCACTACATAAAATCCATACCATTACATTTCAGCAACCTTTTGCTACAGTATTTATCTGTTAACCAGACGTAAAACTATATTGAAAAACCAGTCCTTGTCCAGATTAAATGGGCCCTGCAGACAACAGCTCTGTAATGATCCGACACTGCATAAAGAAAGCAATTCTGGAATTACAGCCCTATTATTTGAGTAAGATGAATCTGCTGCAGTGGGAAAAGAAATACAAATCATCCTCGTGATCAGAGGAGCTACTTTCAAACAATGTTAAGTAAGATCTACCATCTTTATTCAAAATGGATTGTTTTGTCCCATATTTTAGTTTGTGATTATTGCTGCATTTATTGCCCATTCCTAGTTACCCTGGTGAGTTTCTTCCTTGGGAATTGACTAGCCAAATACAAAAACCTCTACCAATGAAGCACGTTATGGAACAAGACAGAACCATAGACAAGCAAGCCCTTATTGTGGCTGATGTTCCACAAACTATCATATTTACAGAACTCTCAAACTCAGCTTTTTTATTCCCATTCACAGGCATCACTGGCTGGACCAGCATTCATTGCCCATCCCTAAATGCCCTCAAGATGGTGATGAGCTGCTTTCTTGAACTATATCCTTGACATGATACAGGGAGAACTGTTCACAGCACTCTCAGTGTGGTCCATCCAATTCAAGGTTGCATACAAGTTTAACATAGCTTCTCTGCTTTTCAATTAATCCCTTGGCTTTGTTTTATTTTGAGAAAATGTCTTATTCATGTGTTCATAGTTTAGTGATTTGTGTAACTGCATCTCCAGATCCTTTCAAGTCTCTACTTAACTGAGGCACTTATTTTTCAGGAACAATACAGTCTCCTTGTTCTTCCCGCCAAACTGCCACACAATTGAGTGCCTGTCTTCATTTGAGGGTTAGATCAATGGACTTCAGCTGGATTGGTCCACACTCATGAGCAACATACTGCAGCGGTTGCCATTGTTTTCTGCAGGACAGCCAACCAAGAAAGCTGCCTGCCAGCAGGCATATTGGAACGATATACAGGCTGATAACTTATTTTGTCACATTTCAAATCCATCTTCAAACAAGTCCTGGTGTGGGAGTCTAACCTGCAGCTGCTGGCCCACAAGTATATGATTGTTATAGTTATGCAATTGTACTTTTGATAGCTCTTCCCTATTTCTTTTCACATGCACAGATACAACCTACCTGGACCAAGGGTTTTATCCACACTAAATTGATTAGTTTATCAATTAACCTCCTCCGTTCCATCTTAAATACCCTGACAAGAGATAAAGTCATGGAAATATTTTATAAGAGGAGAAGAATTTAAAAAGGTCCTGGAATTGGGCTTACATCTGCAACCATCTGACTCTCAAAGTCAAGCCGACACCTAAATGATAAGCCAATACTTAAGATGTTCCTCTGTTAAGTCTCAATAAGTCAATTTTAAAGATCTGTAACACAATATTGAAATTTTACCCTGTTTGATCCCTGAAGGTAGTTACTTTTTCCTGGGATCAGGATAATCAAAAACTCAGACACAAGGTGAGTGGCCACCAGCGCTTCAAGCTTTAGACCTTGAAAAAAAAATAAACATTTCTATCAATTACTTGTACATGCACTGCATAACAGCTCCATTGAAGCATCTGTTGCCTGTGCCACAGAATAATGTAGCTGGATAGAGTTCCTGCAACAGATAAAAAGCCTTATGAATGTCAAAAGTAGTGCTGTCACTGTCATCTGAATTTCTTATGAGCAGATCAACGTAATGGATGGGACACAAAATTACAGATAATAAGGTGTAGAGCTGGATGAACACAGCAGGCCAAGCAGCATCAGAGGAGCAGGAAGGCTGACGTTTCGGGTCTAGACCCTTCTTCAGAAATGGGGGGGTTTACGAGAGAGTTGCAGTGGGAGAGAGATCCGCTGAGGTTTTTCCGGAGGGAGGAGGGTAACTTCTTCAGGGTAGGCATCCTTAGAAGAGGCTTCGCAGTGGGGTTAAAATTGTTTCAGAGATAGTAGGAACTGCAGATGCTGGAGAATCTGAGATAACAAGGTGTAGAGCTGGATGAACACAGCAAGCCAAGCAGCATCAGAGGAGCAGGAAGGCTGACGTTTTGGGCCTAGACTCTTCTTCAGAAATGGCGGGGGGGTTAGCTGAGATTGATGGCAGAGATTATTTTAAACTAGATATGCTGGCTAAACACTGAGATTGAGATGTTAAATGGTGTTTTAAATCTATTGCTCAAATAATTTCTTATGATTACAGTTGTTAGAAATCGTGATCACTCAAATTTAAGAATAATGTTTCAAGTTCTCAGTTTGTTTTCATTAATCTACTAGTCATTCACAATATTGGCTCCAGATCTCACCTTCTATCACCTCTTTCTCATTCAATGATGCTTCTTCACAAGGAACAAGGATGACCAGTGGAACTGCAGGATTTAAAGGTTTAGCTTGTAAAAGTTGTCTGACTTGAAGCATTGCTGAGAGCCAATACACTTCCTCCTCCTCCTGGTCAGTGCCTTCTTCTCGATTTGGTAGCAAGAGGATCAGAGCAGTTGTTCCCAGCAGTTCCTTCCGCTGTTCCATTGCATCTACATCTGTGTCACTTAGAGGGCCTTTAGTCAACTGATTTTAAAAAAAAACACAGATCACAATTTGAGTGAACCAGACGCTAATGTAACTTCTGAAAGAACAATGAAATGTTACTGAACCTTTCCAAGAAAACTTCAAAAAACTGTTACATTTATACAATCTTTCAAAAGCTGGGTGGGTGAGGCCCTTACCTTAACACAGATATGCACAAGTACATCAATTCCTTCATCACTCTTCACTGCTTTGCATAGGTGTGTCTGAATGACATTATCAGCATCATCTGCAGCATCATCCAGCCTTTCAGGTCCTTGGAATTTTGCTTTCAGCCAATCAATCAAAGTTCTTAAAACGAAAAGCATTTAACCACAAAACAATATGAAAAAAAGATTTAATTGGTTTAAATTTTTAAAATGACTAAAAGAAATATTTAGGGCTAATAAGTTCAAAGCAAACTGCAAACTTTTTTTTAGATTTTGTAACTAAATTACTTAGTCATTAGTCACAAAACAATAGATATATGGTCTGAGGATCACTACAATTCTGCAACTGCACAACAGGCTCGGGGCACTTCAATCTGTACGAAATGCCAGCACACTGGCATCATCTGGCTGTGTTAGCATGAAAGAAATGGATAGCTGCTAACTTACTCATCACATAGTCCACTCACCAGCAATGCGTAAAATTAGTGTCAATTTAAGTGCCGGTATATAGAATAGGTCCTACAATCTCACTAAATCTCTGTTCCACAGCACCACAAATGCTCGAGCACAAGCCTATTTTCACAAATTCCACAGTAATTTCAAAGCAATGTTCCTCCACTTAATTTGTTGGTACAAGGTAGAACTTTGCAGACAAAGATCTGTGCAGAGTTTGCTGATCTCAGGCAAACTATCATGAGAACACTTCAGCTGGACTCTACTCTCCAGGCTGGAACGTAAAACAAAGAGAGAAACAAGGTTTCTATCCTTGAATCCTAATTTTAACATTAGGTTAATACGCTCCAGTGGCCACTTGATTCAGCTCAGTTTGAGTTAATTAGTGATGAAATGTTCCAGGTAGAGGATTAATCTCAGTCTAGGCAGCAGGAAGAAGAAGAAACCAAATGTAGATGACCAACCAGTCATCTCCCTCTCTGCTGCAAGTGAACCTGGCTTCCACAGACAGGGAATGCAGGAAGGAGCCATAACCTCAATAAACAAATATCACCTTTAAGACCTGTATCAGCTCAAGCAGCTAGTCAAATGGAAACAGCAGAATCTGTGCATAAGTTTACAACTTGTTGGATGGTATAACTACCTTAGGTCAGCAAAATTGCTGACATTTAATAAAATATTTGATACAAAGATTCAGGAAGACAAAAGATTCAGAAGCCTTTTCTTACCTGTTGTTATCACTAAGTGCATATTCATCATCACTTGGTAACAGCAGAACAACCTTCCAGAAGATTCTCTCTTGACGAGTTGGGAAGTTATCTGCCACCAATGTGAACAAATCCAAAGGAGTCCAGGCAGCTTCACTGAAAGTGGAATTAAAATTCAGATGTGAGAATAACTGCTGCATCTTGCTTCATGGTCATCATATGGAGCCCATATGAGCACTCACTAAATAATTTACATAAAACGACACTGTTCATCAACTCTGTCTGCAGAAAGATTTCCCCATAAGATGCAAGAGTAGAAGTAGGCCATTTAACCCATCGAGTCTATGCCCTCATTCAATTCAAACATGGCTGATCCAATCATCCTTTACTCCACTTTCCTGCCTTTACCCAAAACCATCGATTTGCTTACTAATTAAAAATCTGTCTATCTCACCCTGAATATACTTAATAGCCTCTGAGGCCTCAACAGCCCTCTGTGGTACAGAATTCCACAGATTCACTACCCTCAGAACAACTTCCTCTTCATCTGTCTTAAATGCGTGATCCCTTACTCTTTCATCCTGGACTCTCCCACAAGGGGAAACAATCACACAGCATATACCCTCCTAAGGCTCTTATATGCTTCAACATGGTCTCCTCTCATTCTTCTAAACTCCAATGAGTATAAGCTCAAACTACTCAGCCTCTCCTCTTAGGAAAACCTCTCCAATCCTGGGGATCAAAATAGTTAACCTTCTTTGGACTGCCTCCAAAGCTCGTATATCTTTGCCTTAGATAAAACTGTTCACACTATTCTAGATGTAGTCTGACTAGTGCCTTGCATAGATTTAGCAAAATCTCCATGTTTTTATACTCCTTGTCCTTTTAAATAAAGGCCAAAATTCCACATGCTTCCTTATTACCAGCTGAACTTGGATGTTAGCTTTGTGATTCATGCACTGGGACTCCCGAATGCCTCAGTACCCCAGCTTTCAGCACTCTTTCTCCAATTGAATAATTCAACTCTTCTATTCTTTCTGCCATAGTGCATAACTTCACATTTTCACATTATACATCATCTGCCAAGTTTTTGCCCAATCACTTAACTGGTCTGTAGATTTATTCCGTCATCCTCACGGTTTAGCTTCCCATCTTTTTGTGTCATCCACAAACTCTACAGTCACTCCCATCATCCAAGTCACATACATTATAACTAAGTGTGGTCCCAGCATTGATTCCTTTCGCACTGTGCTCCAGTTTGTCATCCTGAAAATGCCCCTTTATCACAAGTCACTGACCTCCAATAGTTAGCCAATCCTCTATCCCAAAACCACAGGAGTTTAAGTAGCCATGTGTGGGATTTTAATGAAAGTCTTTGTAAATCCAAATGTATTACATCTGCTGGCTCCCCTTATCTATCCTAATTGTATGTCCTCAGAACTGTAGTAAATTTGTCAGGCATGATTTCCCCTTCATTAAAACATGCTAATTCTGCTTGATCATATTATGTATTTCTAAATGCTCTAGTATAGCATCCTTTATAATAGATACTAACATTTTTCCAACAAGATGATAAGCTAACTGGCCTATAGTTAACTGATTTTTGTTTCCCTCCTTTTTGAAGAAGAATATTACATTTGCAGTTTTCCAATCCTTCGGGACTTTTCCAGAACCTAAGGATTCTTGGAAGATTACTAACAGTGCATGCACTGTCTCTGCAGCAACTTACTTAATTTCTTGGATGTATCCCATCAGGTCCATGAACCTACTGGCCTTTAGCTCCATTTAGTTGCCATAGTACTTTTTCTCTAGTGATAGTTATTGGGTTTATTTCCTTCCTGCTTTCAGTTCCTTAATTATTTAGTACTTCCCACCCCATTTAAGCTTATTTAGTATTTTTAGAATGCTATTAGTGTCCTCTACCAGGAAGACCAATGCAAAATATTTTACAACCATACTACCATTTCGTGCCTCCCCATTATTATTTCCATTCTCTAAGATGTTGCTCCATTCATTATTATTTATTTGTTGGATTTTAAAACTTTTCTCAATACCCCGATTTACCTCCTAATCCTTTCATTTTGTAAGTTTTTCATTTCAATTTGATATTATTCTTAACTTCAGTGGTTAACCATGGTTTGCTTATCACCCTCCCTAGAATCCTTCATCGCCACTGGAATACATCTTTGTTGTGGCCCATGAGCTATTTTCTTGAAAATCTGCCATTGTTCCTCAACTATCTTTTCTATTAAATACCTTCCCCAGTCCATTCCAGCCAATTCACTCAAACTTCAGTCATGTATAATCTCCTCAATTTTCAATGGACATACTTTTGTAAATGCAATTTGCACACTTTATGTCATAACTTGGTGTAATGCGGGGGCATTAACAACAATATTTTCTAAAGCCTGAAATGTGAAACTGGCCTGGCCAATTCCAAAGATTTTTGCAATGTTTTTCAGAAATCAATATTTAATAACATGGTGATTCAAACACATTCCAACAACATAATTTGATGAATGGTTAAATTTTATATCTGGTCACGTATCAACATATACGTCAGCTTTATTTGTAGCAATAATTTACTCAAGAGATTGCTACCTACAAGGTTTCTGAACCACTGCAGCCAGTTTGGGAATTTGTTTTAGGAACTAACACTTTGAGCAGGTGAATTCAAATGCAAGAAAACCAATTCAGTGGATAAGGGAGGATGGAAGATGACTCTGAGCAACTGTTTAGCCTGCCTGAAATATCTGATTGGCTAATAACATTTAAGTAGCACCTTTATAACTAACATCTAAAAAAAAATACAAAAGGTCAGCACCATTTGCCAAATATGTTAATCATGCTATATAAACAGAACAATGCTAGGGTAGGGTCTGTAAATTGACAATTGAGTAAGCGGTGCAGTGCTATCCTCTCTGAAAGGTGAAAATGATAATTGGTATCTGCATTGAAGTTATGGCACAAAATATGACAGATGTTTCAGTACCAGAGGAGCTGCTGGTAGAAGTTTTGAACCCTCATTTGATGAGCAGTCTCCTTCCTCCTCTGCAGCAACCTGCAACACAATGGGAAAACAAAAAAATGTTTGTCACAGGTTCCTTAGGTATTTTCTATTCTCATCATGCCGAATTATACACCGTTTCAGTTCCAACAATACAATGTACTTATTAGGATTATGGACAGGTTACAGGAACCACTACATAACAAAGTTTTCAGCACAACTGGAGGCCTGTGTCAGATGATTAAATGACCAACAGTTAACATTTCTGTCTCTAACTATTGCACTGCAATGTTGTCCTCTTTAGTATCAAGAATCAAACACACCAACCAACAACACAGCTGGCTGCAGTGTCAGCCAGGTACAGGATTCCTGCATTCAAGTACTTGAGTGGGATGGGAGGAGGGGTCACGATTTCGCTTAGGAAGGATATCAGAGCAAGACAAATATCTGTGTGGACATTCTTTCAGGAATCAGAAGCTAATTGAAGAAACACATGACCAAGCCACAGGAACACAACGCTGAAGTGCTAAATGGAACAGCCAGGAGTAAATCCAATTGGCAATGCAAGAGAAACCTCCTTAACCTTACAGAGTGGTTGGACTGTCGAACTCACCGCGGCACAGCAAGACAAATAGTGTGAACGTATTTCAGGGAGAAGCACCACAGACAAAAGAAGCAAAGGATCTGTCTATTGCATTAGATGAATAGGGGTGGGGAGGTGACTTGTTTGGAGAGTAAACACCAACATAGAAGCTAGACAAAAGGCTTTGCTTTTTGCTTTGACTCTATACACACAGTACCATATACATGACATGCTGAGATCGTTATCGTTGGGCAGATCTGGGTTCACCAGGTGGGGACTCAGTTTGCAGTTGGGGCCAGCCGTGCCTGGGGCTGCTGGGAATGTCCACATTTCTTTTCTCAGGCGCTTCCGAGCCTCTGCAGTAGCTCTCCACCTAGCAGAACATTTGGAGTTAAGAATTCATTGAAGGTACTTAAAAGAAAAATTTATAGACTGCTTTTCGAATAAGTTAAGTCTTTTTTTCTTTATTCTATCACTGCAGTCAACAATTCTAAAAGTTGGATCTTTTTCTTTCACTTACTTCTTTAAATATTTGCAGAAACAATGCACTTCCTGCAGAGTCTCCTTCACTACTTGGAAGATCTCACTTTCCAGCGTTTCTTTAATGAGGTAGCTGCAGAACTCTGCCGAGCAGCGGTTAATCTGGGCTCGCCTGTCCTCCTCCACTGCAAGCCTATAATAGACAAAGTGAAGGCTGAAGGCAGGCAACTTCTAAATGACATTAAGTTCTGCAATTTAGGAAGACATTGGGACATACTGCATGTGTCACTAGTACCCTGACCTTCCCAGAAATTAAAATTCCACAGGAGCACGGTCCAAACCTTGAAAACTGCTGCCCTCAACCCCATGTGCATCCACATGTTTCCACAACCAGTCACACAAACCCTCCCTCACCTGTCACTCTCCTATTCCCTCCCTCCATTCATCTCCCACTTCGTCTCCTTAACCCTCTCCTTAACCACTGTCCTGCCCCATTCCTCCCTTGCACACAAGTCCCACGCACTCCCATAGTGCTCTCCTCACCTCTTCTTCACTTTTAGCTACCACCCTTCCCTCTGTCTCTCCTCTTCCACCTATCCAGTCCTCCTCTCTCCCCACTGCCACCTCAATCCCACTCCTCTGCATGCTCCTTCCTTGATCCCACTCCTGTTCTCTCCCCAACTGTTGCCCTCCCATCCCCGAATGCTGAGTCATGCATGAGAGGCAGAATTCCATTCTTCCTTAGTTTTCTAAATGTCTGCTGTTCATTACCTTAGCTCCTGAATGGCACATTTTCTTATAGAGTAATCCACAACTTGCTCTGTAATTTCATCACACAGTGCTTGACTGTACCGGCTCTTCCATACTTCCCGTTCCTTCTTCAGTCTGCAATACAATGGACATTCAAAAAGATTGCTCTTGCATGCTTAAAACATGTCAGGGTTAGTGCATCTCTCACAATAAAACTGAAATTTTGAAAATCCAAGCTAATAGAAACTGCTGTCTACAGGGGTCTACCCTTTTATACCTGAACACAAACTAAAGTCAAGAACCAGCACTTAACTCATCTTACAAAACCATAACAAATCCAAAGCACTTCACAAAGTTTAATCAAAAAATGATCCAACATCAAGGCACTTAAAGGACAGATAACCAAATCATTAGTCAAGAAGCTAGGTTTTAAGGACAGTTGTGGGGGGATTTGGTGGTGGCAGTTAAGACAGGGTGAAAGGTGGAAGTGTTTAATTACTGAATTCCAGAGCCCAGGCAGCAGTGATACACCAATGGCTGGACCAAGAAATTCAGAAGGCTCAAGGAGCTCAAATTGGAATAGAGATGTAGGAAGCATGGAGCTGGAGAAGGTGACAAAGACAGGGCACCACCTGGCCTGTTCAATTCTGCGCTTTTCATCCTCGATCCTCTGTCTCTCTGCTTGAAGCTCCTCAGATGAAGTCCGCATCAGCATCTCCGTGGTAACTTCTGCAATCAGCTCCTCTGACGAACTGTTTGACAAACTAGAAGAATACAAAACAATGTCACCCGTGGCAAAATTCAGTGGGCATTTAAAAGCCAAATCTTCCACAGAATGAATTATATAACACAAATGCAGGTCATTTGAATCCACCAAAATGTACGCTCCGTTCAAGCTTTTCTCCATGCTTATATCTATCAACATAATCATTTATTTCCTCTCTTCAAACTTATTTAAAGGGATCTTGACTTCTACATTTTTATTAGTGTTCCTTCCAAGTTTTCCACCTGAGTTCTTGCTGATTCTCTTATTGGATGGCAGCCAATATGGCTGTTCCACACAACTGGAAACATAGTTTTGCTTCATCTACTTTGGCTAAACCTTTCCAAAATGCTCATGATCTTTGGTGGGAGGCAGTTGTGAAATGGTAATGTGGCTGGACTAGTAATCCCGGAGGCCTTGGGGACATGGTAGAAATCCCACCAAAACAGGTGACAAAATTTACATTCAATTTTTACAGAAACTGGATTTGATAGCTAAAAAGATAATGATGATCATGAAATCATTATGGATCGTTTTAAAAACACATCTGCTTCAGAAGCCTGCTGTCCTTCGATGGTCCGGCTTATACGTGGCTCCAGATCTTCAACTGCTCTGTGGAATAGCCTGGCAAATCACTCATTATTCAAAGACAACTAGGACAGTCAAGAAATGCTAGTCTTTCAAACAATATCCACATGCACAATGGCTATACAGACAACACAGTATGGAGCTGGAGGAACACAGCAGGCCAGGCAGCATCAGAGGAGCAGGAAAGTTGATGTTTCGGGTCAGGACCCTCCTTCAAAAATGGGTCCCGAATCGAAATGACAACTTACCTGTTCCTCTGAGGAAGCCTGCCCGGTGTTCCTCCAGCTCCATAGTGTGTTGTCTCTGACTCCAGCACCTGCCATTCTTGCTATCTCTGCACAACAGCTATACTTTTTATTAAAGAACAACCTGTTCATACTTTAATTGTTTTGTCTTCAGATTTGGTTTCTTTCTTTTTGCAGCCTCTCCTGTGCCTCTACAATGTTTTTAGAATACGCTAAACAGAAATCCACGCAGCACCATAAGCATTCTTTATCCAAGCTGGACAGAAGTTAATTTAACTGTTATGATCCCAATTCCTTGGCATACCGGACAAGTTAGATCTGAGGAAAACCTGGCTCAATAAGTCATAAGCTAAATTTTTGCAGTTTGGTTACTGTGGAGGTCAATCCCCAAACATTCATACAGGGTTATCAATGCAAGTTTTACAAGAGTACCTGATTTAGTTTGTGTAATAAGCTCAAGTAACAATACATATGAAAGATATCTGACCATAAACAGAAAAAGGATTCAGCCCTTTTCTCAGTGATATCCTTTACACTTACTTACATCCAGAGAAGTTATCACTTCTATCATCGCCTTAAAATTTCTTGACTGATTAGTTCCTTTCGGTCAACACTCTGTACATTCACCAGATATGACTCTTTTTATTACTCACTCTCTCTCAGGCATACAGACAGCCAAAGTACCGAGTTTTCTCTGACTTGGGCTACTTTGAGGCTGCGAAAATAGCTGAAGTCTTCTTTCCACCTCTAACAGCCTGAAGCCCTCCAAACCGAAATTGACTTTCAGGTGGAACCCCTTCCTCTCAATTGAAACACTACAGTGGTCCTTGGTCATCAGTCTTTGAGTGTCATAAAGTTCAAGTTGCAAATTCTTCATGCAGCTTGCTGGTCATTTAACAGAAGTCACATGCTTCCATGAAACTATGTTTGAACTTGCTGTTCAAAAATTATTTTGACCTCTTCAAAGAAGTCCCCTGTCATAGAATTAAAGCCAAATATCTAATATCCTCTACTTTATAATCAAGATTTTTAGCACATCACAACTCTTTTTTCCAATTCAATCCCTCGAAAATTAAACTCAAGTATTTGTTTTGTTTTATATTTCCTTATATCCCCAAGTTGCACTTTGTGATTTATGCAATTTGAATTGCAAGATTGCTTATTTTCCAAGTAACATGTTGTTTTCTGGTTTTCTTACCATAATGTAATACTTGAAACTTATCTAGTTTCAATAACCTTTTTGGTGCTCCTAAAGGTGAGTAATGTTAATTCAGGAGAATGGAACATTTGTTTCACAAATCTGTGTCAAGTGTAACCAGAGATCAGCTAAGGTATTCATGAGGCAAGCAGCAGGTTATGCTGAATCTTTTTAAAGTCAGAAGTCACACGACATCATGTTATAGTCCAACAGGTTTATCTGAAATGATAAGCTTTCGGAGCAATACGCCATCAGGTGTCGTGTGACATCTTAGTTTGTCCACCCCAGTCCAACAACGGCACCTGCACATCATGGCTACCATCGATACCACCAACTGCCGGTCGAAGCGGACTTCAACCTGACTAAGAAGCAGAGCTCCGAAAGCTTGCGATTTCAAATAAACCTGTTGGACTATAATCTGGTGTCTTGTGACTTCTGACTTTGTCCATCCTAGTCCAACACCGACACCTCCACATCATGGGAATCTTTTTAAAAGCACTAACCACAACTGGAGTACTGCATCCACGTTCAGTCATCACACTTGAGCAAAGATGTGAGGGTTCATAAGAAGGAGCAAAGGAAATTTACCAGAATGGATCCACATATGGGAATTTGAGCTACAAAGTTAAGTTAGAGAAGCTGAAGCCATTCAAAGCAGATTGAGGGATGACTTGGTCGAGATGCATAAACGGAAACAAATTTGTATAAGGTAAACAAGGAAAAACAGTTTACCTTAGGTCATATTACAAGGAGGAGTGGAACACATTTAAGGTCACAGGCAAGAGATACAAGGAGAATGCAAGGAAGAAAATTTGTGTGTTATGACTGGTGATGACCTAGAACTTGCTGCTGTCAAAACAGTGTAAAGCACAGATAATCAATGACATCAAGTGGAAACTGGATGGACACTACAAGGAAATAAAAACTTGCAGGACTACAGGGTAAGAGCAAGGGAATAACACAAATTAGACTACTCCATGGACTTGATGGGTCAAATGGCTTCCTTCTGTTCCATAAAAAAATTTTATATAAGTGACTCTTCAAGCCATTCACCAATGATAACAGTTCAGCCTGAAGTAGCCTATTACCTGATGGCCTCTACAGCAAAAGCTGTCCCTGCTTTCGCCAGTTCTTTACACTCCACACGGAGAACATCCTTCACTATATCATTGACCACATCCTTGACCACTTCAACTATCATCTGAAAGGGAGAAAAAAAACAACACTGAAACAGGGGACAGACAACCATCATAAAACAAAGGAAATGATTTAAAGCTCTTCATCCATTACTCCTTTCACTTACCTTTAAAATGAGTATCTCCTGACATTTAGGACATTTTGTTGTGCCTCATTTGTTTTTGAATTTCTTGCATTTTACCCATAAGAAACAATTATAATAACAATTAGCCCACTACTCCACCTAGTTACGGTGTGGAGGAGCCAGTGTTGGACTGAGGTAGGCAAAGTCATGCTTTTGGAGCATAGCCCCTTTGTCAGGTGAAGAATACATCATCTGACAAAGGGGCTACATTCTGAAAGCTTATGCTTTCAAATAAACCTGTTGGACTATAACCTGGTGTCGTGTGATTTCTGACTTTGTCCGCCTAATGATCATATCGAACAACTCCACTGCTGTGTTTTATAATACTGAACTGGTATTATGTATAATTTTCCTTACTTTTGTTTTTCCAAAGAATTTACAAACCTAAAATACATACAGGATCAAACAGAGGCACTCACTACAGGAGATACACAGACACATGCCCAACAACCAGGACAGAGATCAAAATATTTAGGTAAAAACCTGCAATATGGATCACATTTTATTAATTTTTCGTAATAGATGTTAGTTTCAAGATGAGGGAGAGGTGCTACCACTGAACCAGGTCAGTTGTCCTCGCTGAAGTGTCAAGATGATTCTCTAAGCTGACATTTCTATGCCATAGTGAGGGAGATACTTTGTTGAATGTGCTGTCAAAGGACACTTAAAGAGGAGTGTGTGTGTGTCTGTCTGTTCAGGTGTCTTTCAAAAAGACCCCATAAGTATTCTTGTGATACTTCACTGGAGTAGCACACTAGCCAGCCCTGCTATTCCCAGAATCATAAAAAAAAATTAAAGATTTTTTTTAAAAGTTTGCAAAGTTCCTCTGGTTTCCCGGCTTTTAGGCCCAGATTGACCAAAAAAGCAGCACAAACCAGGTTTTGGTCCTTGTGAATTGCTATTTATTACAAATAACTAATTCTAACTACACATAAACAACTACAAAACGTCAACAGATAACTCTACTACTTAAAACTCTCACCCACTTACAAACGCCCTCTTTACACATGCTTGCGTGCATACACAAAAAAAAAGGGTGGATGAAAGACTGGGAAGGCTATTCAGTGGTGCTTGTTCACTGGATTTGCTGAATCAATCCTTTTGCTCATCAGAACACTACTTCTCAATCCTCATTCTCCAGATATTTTCACTTGTTTGCAGGAGGCACATGCTGATTGATTCACAATTATAAAAGGTCTCTGACTTATTCACTAAAAATCACCGCAATTCAAGGGGAAATAAATAGGCTCTCTCAGGCTGAAAAGTAGTTCTTGCAGCCCAGGAAAGGGAGACAGCTCCTGTCCTTGTGGACATTGGATGTCTTCTGGCAAATATACACACCACATTCACACACAGACCCCTGACTCCAGCTTGTCTGTAACCAGACTGTTCCCATTGCTTGAACCAGCAGGGATGAAAACAGTACCCTTCCCATTTCAGTCCACAACAAAAATACAGAAAAAATAAAAATGCATGGTCTTTACACTCTTGGCAGAACTATTGGCTCCTCCAGAATCCCGGATAACTGTTCTCCTTCAACTAACAATAGCATCGTGCTGCCATCATCTGATTTGTTATTTGTGAAACTTTGGCACGCAGCAAGTTTACAACAAGGTTTAACCTACGCAACAGCATTAAGTACACATTCATGAGCTATAAAGTCCCAAGAAAGACAGAGACAGACTGGTGGAAAGGGCCTGATTATTAAATATTACAATGACTTCTGTTGTAAACACAACCAACAATGGAGAAACAAAAATAAATCAATAGTCACAAGCACAAACACAAGTTGGGGGAAGATCATGACCTCCAAAAAGAAGGCTAACAACACAGTTCTGATCTAGTCAGGCTGTACCTTTTCAGGATAGACTGGTTGAGGTTTGGGTGGTGGTGCAGCAGGCACCTGAGAGACGACAGGCACCAGCGCAACCATTGGAGCAGTAACCTGAAGTAATGGCGGCGGCAGAGAGAACTGTTCGACAGCAGGTATTTCTTGAGCTAAAGTTTGGTTCTCCAATGGTACAGCTACAAAAGTAACAAAAACTATAATTGCCATCATCCATTAGCACAGCGAATGAGCCAGATTACAAAACAATAGAAATTTACATTCAAACACATACGGAAAATACTCCAGCTGTGAAAAAATTGGATATTAAAAACAGAGAATACATTCAAAAGCTGCAATTGAGAGTGCTAAAATTCAAGTGTTCATCAAAATTTTACTTTAAACATTGTTTCTTTTTCTCTCTTTACAGAAGTTGCATACTGAGTATTTCCATCCTTTATTGCATTACAGCAGAATTGTAGTATTTAGCATAATCACACCATCATTTAAATGCAGTTCTAAAGTTATCTCAAACAAAGCAGCTTATAGTGTGCATCTGTGTGAATCTCTGATTGCGCACTGCAATGAAACAGAAGTACAGATAATATTTTAATATTGATTTACTGCAAGCTTGGGTTCCTGGAATTCTAAGTTAAACATATGGTCTGTGTTTGGAGATAACAATCTAAAAACTACAAAACCCATAATTCCAAGCATAGGAAGTTACCTGGACGTCCTATGGAACTACCCAGAGGGTTTAAGAGGAGAACTTTCCAGACTCCAACTATCAATTTGAATCTATGCTGGGAACTCATCCGAGAGATAAGCATATACCAAGTTCTAAAGCACAGATGTTTCCTGATGAAGTAACATGCTCTTAAGAAAACGTGTTTAAAGTAATGGAATAATCTTAGAATAAAAAGCATTTATTAATCCCAGACCAGAGTGTTGGGATGTGGAAAAGAAGAGAAGTTTTTGAAGTTTGTAAAAA